TGCTGATATCCCAGAGCAAGACTTTCCCATCGTTTCCTCCAGACAACAACTGGTATGTCTCAGGCATAAAGAGCACCTGTGAGACTCCCAAGCTGTGAGCCTGGAACTCCAGCTCATGTTCAAACCTGGCACCGGTGACTCGGAATATTCGGATTTTCCCATCCTGAGCTCCACAGCTGAAGATGTTGCCACACGAGGCCACAGACAGGGAATGTGCAAGAGGTGGGTTGAAGAACTGCCCAGCTGACTGTGGGCTCTCTTCCTCCATGTCACACTCCTGCAGGTTCATGGTCCACAAGGGACGAACTTTCTGCAGGTTCCACAGCATCACCTGGAAAAAAAAAAAACAGTAGGATGAATCAGTTGTGTGTTTTACTTCAAATGGGATCTTTAATAGTAAAATAAGCAACCACACTTCTTGTCCTAGCAAAGGCTGTGTATGAGTCCAAGGGGTGCAGGGCATAGGGTTAAACTTGCCCTAATAAATGTAGCAAATCTTTCTAGCCTGCTTTCCAAAGCCCCACCACCACACTCTGCAGTCAATGACTCAGAGCTTCAGACCACGGAAGAGATGCAAACACTGCTCTAAAAGCTTTTGCATTCATCTCAGCAGTAGTAATCATGATATACTGCACATCAATTATTGAGAAGGAGGGACAGGGAAACCCTAGCAGTGAATAGAGATCATTATCATTCTGGATTTCTGTCTCTGCTGCTTGGCCTATAATAGTCACTTCCACGAATGTGTCTGAAAAATGGGACAGCAAAAGGCAAACAGCAGTTGAGGCTGTGGTTTTTAAACAGGCATATTTGTATTTATTTTTATATCTAGTGAGTAGATCTGGTTTGTGCTATGGAGTAGGGCATGCTTTACCTACTGAGATAGGGCAGGTTGTGCTTTTAGACTTTTTTTCCAGTGCCACCCCACCTCCAAGCCCCCAGTGAAGAATCCTGTGTCTCTTGTACAGCAGTTCAAGCACTACAGACTTATACTGAGCCAATTAAAAATAATGCTCTCAGGACTTTTATAGGATCTGAATTGACAATGACCATTCTCAAGGCCAACAGACTGAAAAGCACATGTCAGTCTAATGCAGCACTGGTGTACTGTTTGCTTCATAAAGCTAAGCTTCAATTTGTTATTAATAAAAATACTCCTTCAGTAATACTCACCAATAAGTACAGGAGTCTTTAAATTTAGTTCACAAAAGAGCCTGGCTCTGCATTTCTGGAATCCAAATCACACTAAAACATCTGAAATATATTTCCTGTCACTTTCCTGTTTCAGTTACTGCTGTTGCTGCTGCACTAAAACTACTCCCACAACAACTGTGATTTACTGTAAATCAGAGGGGCTGGGTGATGCTTACAGAAAATACTCCTGTTTTCATCAGAGACAGGACTGCAACAATCTGATGAATCCATCAGCTGCTGAGGAGTTTTCTGCAAAGTAAGTATTTTCTGTCCTCATGGCATTTTCCCTGCTTCATCAAAACTCCTGAAAGAACTCCAGGAACCTGAATTTCAATTCTCATAAGCCACAGCTTCCCCGAGGCCTTGATAAGCCCAGAACATGTCTTGTAGAGGGCTAAGCTTCAATTTATTATTAATAAAAACACTCCTTCAGTAATAATCACTAATAAGTACAGGAGTCTTTAGTTCATAAAAGAGTCTGGCTCTGCATTTCTGGAATCCAAATCACACTAAAACATCTGAAATATATTTCCTGTCACTTTCCTGTTTCAGTTACTGCTGTTGCTGCTGCACTAAAACTACTCCCACAACAACTGTGATTTACTGTAAATCAGAGGGGCTGGGTGATGCTTACAGAAAATACTCCTGTTTTCATCAGAGACAGGACTGCAACAATCTGATGAATCCATCAGCTGCTGAGGAGTTTTCTGCAAAGTAAGTATTTTCTGTCCTCATGGCATTTTCCCTGCTTCATCAAAACTCCTGAAAGAACTCCAGGAACCTGAATTTCAATTCTCATAAGCCACAGCTTCCCCGAGGCCTTGATAAGCCCAGAACATGTCTTGTAGAGCTCATAACTTGTCCAAAGGCATGGTGCAGCACAGGGCTTCAGAATTCTGCAGCTAAGCTCCCCTTTGGGAAATGATGTATCTTAAATACAGCCTCAATGCAGAATGATGCTCTTTTCACTGTACAAAAGCACACTAATGAAATCCTGTTTTGGGATACTGACTTTCACCTAAAAACAACTTGCTGAGTTACAATAAATGACACTAATATTAAAAAGTCACAAAAAATAATCAGCTCACTTGTACCAAGTTGTACATAAATGTTTACAATTCTGATTAAAAGTTGCCAGTCACAAGCTTGTGTATCTGCACTTTAGGGACCAAAATTAAGCCAGCTGAGGGACTGAGTCTTTACTCCTCCCAAACAGGATTCATCATCATGGCTTTAACACAGAAAAATACAGTTTATACTAAATATCAGCATGTATTTGCTCTAATGGGTGCGAGATGTACTTTGGTTTCAAGAACACAAGGGTGAAACTGCTCAAACCTGTCACACAAACTTCACCCTGACACCGCCGGAACCACAGAAACCTTTGAGAAGTGACAGTTTTCATATCGGGCTAAACCAGGAATGTGGTCAGACCTCAACCACTGGAAAAAAATTACTGAAAAATATCTGTTCTGGGCTTAACTCCCAGCACGGTTCTTCTCAGAAATGCAAAGGACAAAGCTTCCTTCTAATGAGGACAGGAAAGTTTAAAAGGCAAAGAACATTTCACGCCTCCAAGATGGTAACAGAACAAAAGATAAATTATACAAATCACTTGTCCTCACAGTAGTACGTTCCACTTGGAAAGATGCTGCTCTACCTGCCTGCCTCAAGCACTGTGCCTTTTCCTCACCGTCCTTTGCATCTCATCTGCAGCCACAACTGATCCCTAGGGACAGCTGCTGGTTTTGCTCAGTCCAACAATGAGCTAATACAGCACAAGTGAGCTTTGCAGTGTATTCTGATTTCTCCTCACCCCACTCACTTTTGAATTGTAAATGTCAATGAAGGTAAAAACAGGAGCAGAAGCTGCTGAGTGGAACGTAACACAAACAGCCCCAACACTTAGGTTTTGGGCCAAAACTACTTCAGAATAGTGAGGGAGCTTTCAGTGACTGCAGGCTGAACACCTTCGTGCTCGGTGAAAGTCTGCGGGTGCCTCGCTACACAGGTGGGTAATTACTGTTTCACTTCATTAACAACCGTGCACATGTATGCAAATCACCTGCATGTCCAGTCCACAGGAAACCAGGCTTTGGGGCCGCTGAGGTCGGAAGGCAACAGACGAGCAGATGTTGGAGTGTCTCAAGGAGCGGCTGACTTTCTTGCTTTCCAAGTCCACAACCTTTATGGCCCCCGAGTCATCGGCGGCAGCCAGGAAGCTGTCGGCGTCGTTCACCGCGAGGCAGTTGATCTCCTCCTCGTTCACCTGGAAGCGCTGCAGGGGCTCCTGCTGCAGGGAGCGGGCATCCAGCACGCTGATGGTTTCTCCGTGGGAGGCGTACAGCGTGCTGGGCCGGCGGGCGGAGAACACCACCGAGGTCACGTCGTCGGCCGGCGGGAGCCGCAGCTGGGCCAGGGGCGAGCCTGCCCCGTCCCAGAGCGCCAGCTCGCCGCGCTCCGCGCCCGAGGCCACCAGCCCTTCGGCGCTCACCGCCAGGCATTGCACGGGGCAGCAATGCCCGCCGCTCCACTTCACCGCCATGCTTCGGGACAGCCCTGAAACAAACAGAACAAACTGAGGGGGTTGCTTTGGTCTCGTTACGGCACAAACTCATCGAGCAGGAAGATCATCCTGAAACCCCAGTGCCCAGTTTTTTAACTGGGCACCTCCACAGCTCAGGACACCTCAGTACCCAAGTGCGGCTTTCGCTCAAACAGCCCCGACACCAGGCACTACCATGGTGCCGACCGGTCTTTTCCAACCTAAACAACACAACGAGACTTTTACAAAGAGGTGTTACTAACTTGAAACAGGTTGCAACACATTTAATGGGCTCGCAGAGCACACCCACGGCGCTCAGCAGCCCTAACCCTCCCAGGTGTGACCGCCCGCAGCAGCCTGTGTCACAGCACTGCTAGCAGAGCACATCAGCACAAAATTAAGGGGAGGGCGAAAAAGGGTAACACAGAAGTGTTGGAGGGACTGGGACGCTGCGGAGAAAAGAGAGAGGCACACGGGGTTTGTGTGACAGCCCAGCAGCCCTAAGGCCCGTGCGTTTATCTAACTACTGGGCAACTGGTGGTTTTACCTTCTTTTATTTTTTTACCACGTTATGTTCTCCATGTGATTTTCGTTGGCCCAGATCTAAAGAGCAGCCAGAGCCCATTCATTCCACCAGAGGAACCTCGCTCTTGGCGATCAAATAACCCTACCGAGAGGCCCGATCCCTTCGCCGCAGCTCGCACCGGGGCCGATTCCCGGCCGGGGGTCCCAGGTGAATCGTACCCGGCCAACCCCCGCGCCCTGCGGCAGCTCGGTCCGAGCGCCCCCCGGCCCCGGGGCCGTCCCGGGGGTTCGGGAGGCGCGGGGCCCTCAGCTCTCACCTCCGCTCCGCTCCGCTCGCCTCCGCCGGGCGCCGCCGCCGCCCCTGGCCGGCCCCCCGGCGGCCGCGGCGTCGTGGGGAGGGCCGGGCTGGCGGCTGCCGGGGCGGGTGCTGGAGCTGGTGTTCTCGTACCTGGAGCTGCGGGAGCTGCGGAGCTGCGCGCTGGTCTGCAAGCTGTGGCACCGCGTCCTGCACGGCGACGAGAACAGCGAGGTGTGGCGCAGCCTGGCCGCCCGCTGCCTGGCCGAGGAGGCCCTGCGCACCGACATCCTCTGCAACGTGCCCACCTACAAGGGCAAGGTGAGGCCGGGACCCCCACCCCGCCGGGACACCCCCTCAGCCCCCCGGCCCACCCGCCATCCGAAGCCAAGGGGGCGGGAGGCTGGGAGAGGTGGCAGGGTTTTATCTCCCGGAGCCACAATGGTTCGGGTTGGAAGGGGCGCCTCCCACTAGAGCAGGCTGCCGCCAGCCCCGTCCATCTCCCCCACCCGCCTTGTCTCGCCCAGGTCCGTGCCTTCCACCACGCCTTCAGCACCAACGACTGCTCGAGGAACGTGTACATCAAGAAGAACGGCTTCACGCTGCACCGCAACCCCATCGCGCAGAGCACGGACGGGGCGCGCACCAAGATCGGCTTCAGCGAGGGCCGGCACGCCTGGGAGGTGTGGTGGGAGGGCCCGCTGGGCACCGTGGCCGTCATCGGCATCGCCACCAAGCGCGCCGCCATGCAGTGCCAGGGCTACGTGGCCCTGCTGGGCAGCGACGACCAGAGTTGGGGCTGGAACCTGGTGGACAATAACTTGCTGCATAACGGGGAGGTGAACGGCAGTTTCCCGCAGTGCAATAACGCGCCCAAATACCAGGTGAGGGGGCTTGCAGTGGGCTGGGGGGTGCTGGCCATTCCTCGCTGTCCCGGCTAGCTGCTGAGTTGCTCCTAACTAACCCTCAAAGGTCTCTTTGGCTTCCCTGTAGAAGGCAAATGATTCCACCTTGTGAGCTCTTTCCCCCCTTCATTTACTGCTTGTGCAGACTTCACCTGTCTGGTGTTCAGTGCACCTGACCCTGGATTGTTCCCACACTTTAATCTCAAGCACTGAGTGTGGAACCTGTTCTGTGGGAGTCTGCTTAGACATCCTGGTGCTTTTTGGAATAAAACCTGAAATACTCATGTAGCTTTCTGAAGTAGCGACTTGCCCCACAGCAAGGTGAGTGTCTGAGGGCTTGTACCCCTTTGTTGTCTGGCAGGGTGAGCTGAACTTAGTGCTTAGGTGAGAGTCTTCCTGCAAAAACCTGCAGCAGTGCTGATTGCTGCTGCTTTGCTCACTGGCCACCTTCTGTGGGTGACATCCCTTATCTGGAATCTGACGTTCAGATAACTTCAGGGTGTTAAAGAGCAGAGGCCACCCTATCTTTTTGTCCTTATGGAAGTGCTTGTCTTGTCATTCTGCCTGCTCACACAACTGCCTTTTCACTGCTGGATTTGCTCATGTTACAACTTGAACTGGATCATTGTAATTTCCCTCTCATATTCAGAGAATGGGTTAGAAGGGACTTTAAAAATAATCCACTCCAACCCCCAGTGCTGTGGCTTTGTTTCACTTGGGGGTGAAGATCTGTGTAGTACCTTGCATCTGATACTCCCAAATTTTGTGTGAAAGTTCAAATCAGTGACCCTTTGGTGTATTTTGTGTTTATTAAGGCCTGTACAGTGATCTGCTCATAGAAAATGTGCTTACAGGAAACCCATGTGTTGTTAGTGTTGGCTAGAAGAAATTCCCAGTGCTGGGGCTGGCTGGAGAAGAGTCAGGAGTTTGTGTGGTGCCTGCTCTGCTTGTGGCTGTTGTCTGGGACTTTATTGGTGTCTGAAATGTGTGCTATAAAAATGCAGGGAGCTCTGGGCCTGCCTGGATCCAAGGCTCCTGCTGTGGTCAGTGTTGGTTTATCTTGTGTGTGTGTACATACATATTTTTAGGGTTTTCGTTTTACATTTTGTACTGAAATTCCCTTTTACCTTGGTGAGGGAACACCTCTGTCAGTGACAGCACCTGCATATTAGTCTATTCTGGGATTTTTTTGTAGGTGGCACTTGCCTTTCTTAAACCCATTGTCTTTAAAAATGCTCCTCACAGAGCAGTTGCTGCTCAGCAGCTGAACACAGAGTTCAGGTAACTTGGAGTCCATTGCAAAGATTCCAAAGCTCTGCAGTATTCCCAGAGCTCACAGCACACAGTGCCTGCTCTCAGTGCTCTCACAGGTTCCTATGGGAAGGGTCATGTTTATTGTCATAAACAGGTGGTGGATGCTTCAGATCATGCTTCACATCATGGTGAAATGGAGAAATTCCTGTCATAAGAGCAATCAGTCATGAGAGATAGGACAGCCCTGCTTTAAAATTCTCTGCTGGGTTGCACTTTGCATTATTTTTGTTTCCATCTGAACATGCTGACTCTTTCTGTGTGTTATTTTCACTCTCCCTCCTGTCTCTGTTTCCAGATAGGTGAAAGGATTCGAGTTATCCTGGACATGGAAGACAAAACATTAGCGTTTGAGAGGGGCTATGAGTTCTTGGGAGTTGCCTTCAGAGGACTGCCAAAAGTTTGCCTGTATCCAGCAGTGTCTGCTGTGTATGGTAACACAGAAGTGACTTTGGTCTACCTGGGAAAGCCTCTGGATGGATGACGTGGATTGTTCTGTTGGGACGTCAAGATGTGGATGTTTGGGAGGAGAAATCTGCATGTTGGTTAGAGGGAAACGTGTATTAGAGGAAAAAAAGAACAAAGAAGTGTGGGTGTGTGTCCAAGAGCCATCGAGGGAACCACATGGAGTTTGGAAAAGGAGGACCAGCTGTACTTCAGCAATTATGTTACATTTCCTCTTTCTACCAGGCCAGAAAAATCCTCAGGGCTGCAGTTGGTTGAGTGGGAAGCTGACACATGCATGTCGCAACAGATTTTATTGCTAAAATGGCAGTGTGACCTCAAACATTTAAGAAAGGACTTGGTAAAAAAAAATGCTTGAGGAAATTAGCCTGGGATTTGTAAGTGGCGTGTTTTGTGAGAGACTCCCATTTCCAAACTGCTTGTTCCTTCTTTCCTTCTTTCCTTCCTTCCTTCCCTCCCTGGGGCCAGCATGGGGGCTGGAGCAGAGCTGGGGGTATTTACAATTTTTAGTGTCCTGAGAGGCACGGTCTGTGCAACTGCCCTTCTCTGGTATAACCATACAACACGTGTGCAGCTATTTTTAAGTGTATTTTAAGGATTGTATATAAAGAAAACGTTGAAAAGAACAGTTAAAAGAAAGGGTTTGCTTTATTCTAACTGGGACAGAATTTCTTAAAGGGAAAAAAAAAAAATCACCCCCCTCCCTGGCATCAGAACACACACCTGGGACAGGTGTACAGCCTTCATGTCAGTGCAGTTCTGTTGTAATGTGTTTTGGGATGCTCTTGTGGAGTGCGGTGCTGCTTTGGGTTGTTTCCTGTGAAAGTTTCCATGGCTTCAGTGGCAGGTTTGTTCTCTGTAGGAAACAAAAACGTTTTCCCCCCGAGTTTCCTTTCAGCAGAACTCGCGCTCCCCTCGGGGAAGGAAGGCTGAGCACAGCACTGAGCCTGCCTTCCTCTCCACGTCAAAAATGCCACCTTTTCAAAGCATTCTCTCACTTGCTGATCACTGTTGTGAGATGTCTCAACACCTCAACATAATGTGCAAGGGCTTCTGCAACCAGACCTTACTTTCAGCTTCAGTGGCTTTATAAAGCTTGAAGGCTTGCCTGAACCTTTCTTAACTGAATCAAATCCCCCAGCATCCCAACATTCACCTGCCCAGCACTAGTAAACTCTCACCAGCCCTTTGATGAGGATTCTGGGTCACATTCAGTGTTTGTGCTCTTCACTGATTCTCTCAAAGCCATGTCCAGACCCCCCAGGCACGTCTGTGTGCTGGCCTGTGCAGGCTGGGAAGCTTCCAGGTGTAGTGAGGAAGAATTTCTGGTGAAACCACTTTGCTGTGAGGCTGGAAGGTCTGCAGGGAGCCCTAGGAGGGCCCTTTAGCAGGGCAGGAAGGCTGTGAGCCCCATGGCTGGCTCGTGACTCTGGTTTCATGCTGGTTGGCATCTCCCAGAGCTGCCTGGGCTGTTTCAGAGCTGCTTTTCAGAGAGGGAAAGGAAATGTTTATACAACCTTTTTGCTTGTTTTTTTTTTTTCCCTGTTTTTTTTTTCTTTCTTTTTTTTTCTTTTCTTTTCTCTTTTGTGTGTGTTTTGTTTTGTGCTAGAGAATGTGAGTTGCTTGGTACCAGACACTGGCAATTCTCAGCATGGAAGAAAGAGGAATCCCTCTTGGGCTGTTGCTCATCCCCTTCCCTGTTCCTCAAGGAAGTGAGTGAGGCTTTGCCTTGGAGTGCTTTTGGCCAGGTAGATCACCAGGTTCAGCCCTGGAACTGTGTAAGTTGTTACAATTTAAAGGATTTAAAAGTATTTATTTGTTCTGTGTGTTCATTGCTGAAAGGCAAATCAAGGTCTGTTCCTCTTGCTGCACCAGAATGTGCTGTGAGCAGTGGAGGTGTTTTGGTGGTGCTGAGAACAGCCAAATTAAGGATGTGGAACAGGCATCCAGGTACCCGGACAAATCTGTTACAGGCATTGATTGTACTGGACTGTAAAGTGTCTGCAGAGCAGAACCATGGGGCATAGAGTTGGGGATAAAGGAAACAAAACCCTACCCAGTTTAGGGAAAGAAATAGTCCCCAGGATGAATGTATCCTCAGTGCAGTCCTGAAAGATGCAACCTCTGTGGTTGTCCATGATCCAGTAAGAGGCAAGGAAACCCTGAGAATTCTGAGGAGTTTTAATCACAGATTCAGATTGATTCCCATTCTTCAGACTGCATCTTGCCCTCTAAATAATTTCCCTCTAAATCAGAAATGCTGAAAGTTGAACATTCCTTAAGGGTGGGTTTGGGTGGACTCACTTATGTAAGATTATAACTTATTCCTGGAGACCAATGCTGGCTGTACAAAATATTAAAATAAACTCTGCTATCATTCAGAAGGATCTATTGGTGTGGATTGTTGGAATGGCATCTGCAGAATCCCACAGATGGGAAGAAGGGAGCTGCAGTTTGGTGCCCCATGAGGACAGAGGTGTTGGGGCTGTGTGATCTGCTGTGTGACTGCTGGAAAAGAGAGTCTGAGTGCTTAAGGAGGGCTTGGAAACTCAGGGATCTGATACCTGTGGTAGGAAATTGCCTCCTCTGAAGCAGGGATGCTCACTCCTGACTGGGAAAGGCATTCCTGCCTGCTGGAAGCCTCTGGGTTGGACTTGGGGTGCTGTGGTCACTGCCCCCACTGCTGCACCAAGGGGTCTCCTTCCCCCTCAGCTTCCTGCTGTTTCCTTTGCTTTCCCTGTGGAAGTTCAATATTTCACAGTGCTTTTAGGAAAAAGTATTGTGGGTTTGAGCTCTGAGGCACTTTCCAGACTCTCTGCACCAAGAGTTTGCTTTTAAGCAGTAAATCCTGGCTGACACCTCCTTCAGGAGTAGAGAGGTTTGGTGCTGAGTTGTTTTTTTTAGCCTGAGGTACCTCAGGGTCAGCTGAGCAGTTGTTTGGGGTATTTTTCCAGCCCTTACAAAGGATTTAAGGGCTTTGGTCAGGGGAAACATGAAGTGTTCACAACCCCCATAACAGAAATCAGTCAGATTAACAGGTCTTGGCTTTAGACTCTTACAGGATTTTGGGATAAGCGAGCATTTCATCTGTCATTTTAATAAACTCCTAAATTCCTTGTGGTTTGAGTGTGCTGTGAAATCTGTTGGGAGCTGAACAGCCAGTCCTCTGTCCCTGCCATATCTCTGAGGAGGTGAGGAGCTGGTTGGCGGCAGAGGCTGTTCTTGGCCTTGGTGACACTTTGTGCTGGCCCTTGTGACACCTCAGGTGCTGCTGACAAACTGATAAACCAACATGGGCTGGGAAATTCCCTCCTGGAAAATGCCTTTATCCCAGCAGAAAGGCTGCAGTGAGTGAACATTTTTGGGAGCCCTGTGTGCCCCTTCCCCTGGCAGAGGCCCCTGGGTCCTGTCCCTGCTGGCCACGTTTCAGGTGACAAACCCAGGCAGGAGCAGATGGCCCCGGTGCTGTGGCTGTGCTCTTCCCTGCCTGCCTCCAAATACACCAGTGAGAAATCCAACTTTCCTCCCTGCCTATCTCTGATCTACATTTCTAAATTCCCTGAGCACACTGGGTGTGTTTCCAGATGGCTGCCTCTATTTTTTTTTTCCTCTTCCATTTTCGCTGGGTTGATGACAGCAACGATGAGTTAAAATAACCCTGGGCCTGATCATAGTCTGATCATGCAAAACTGGTTTTTTCAAAGTATTTAAGAGGTGAGCAGCCCTCAGTCATTCCTTAAGCTATGTATTTCCATGTGAATATTTCAGTTTTTACATGTTATAAATAGCTCTTAGATGTGTAAGTGAATTTTTTTTCGCTTTCTTGCAGCGAAATCTGCAGACAGAAAACAGCATTATTGAAATTACACTAAGATCCTTTGTACACTTAAAAAAAGCAGGTTTTCAGGGGGCTGGCAGTGGCCTTTCTTGACTCTGTAAGTGACAGTAGCCCACTTTATGCTAAAGTATGATTGAAAGAAAAAATGAATGAAGCAGTGAACGAGCACAGAAAGCTTTTCCCGCAGTGCTGCTGGACCTGCTAATTTATCCCTTAAGCAGGTTTTTTCCTACTGCTGGATGAGGCTCTGTGACTACCAAAGGAACTCTCCCATCTCCCCACGAGAGGGCAAAGCTGTGGGAGCCTTGACTTGTGCTCAGACAAGTGCTGAGTACAAAAAATGTTTTTAATGTGGAACCTTCCCCCTTAAAAATTACTTCCTGTTCTTTTCAAACACCAAACCAAACTAAAAACCCTCAACAGAAGTGGATGATGGACATAGAATTTTTTAAGTTCACTCCTTCATTTGAACCCTGCGTCCTGAAAAAGGCTGAGCAAATATTTGCATTTCAGAAAATGATTTTTAATGACACCAAACTGAGCCAAAGCTCCAAGATGACCTTAAAGGATTGAAAGGGATTTGAGAGGCTCAAACAAAATGTCAGAGTTGCTGTTCAAGGTCCACTTTTTCCAAGACTTGCTTTTCCTCCCCTCAGGTGTTTATGATGAGGAAATAGTGATATCAGCAAAAAATTATTTTTAAAAAATCCATTGCAATTGAAAAAAAAATATCAGGGAATTGAAAGGGGATTTTTAAATGAAACTCGTTGTATGTTACAAGTGTTGTTCATTCTTCTGCAATTTTACCAAGTCAGGAATTGAAGGGATTTTCCCTTTGTGCCTGCCCTGGCAGGTGTGGTGTGAGCTACCTGCAGTGGTTTCATGTCTGCTTGATTTATTTTGCCTTTTTTAATCTGGAGCTTTCCTTGCCTAGGAGAACTCAGCCATTTCCCATCACCTTTAAATAGAAATCTAAGAGAGTAAACTCTGCCAGCTCCAATATGTGGCTTTATAAAGTGCTGGACAAACCTCCCAGTAAGGAAATGGATGTTGGCCAAAATGCTTTTTTATCGTATTCAAATACTGCAGGGGTTAACATTTTTCATGGAATCCAGATTGGTTTGGTCTGGAAAGGACTCATGAAGTTGCAGCCCCTGTCATGGGCAGGGATACCTTCCGCT